ACCCTTGCCCAGGTGGCTTGACACAGTGAATGTGTCAACGGACTTGACAGTGTCTGCAATTGTGAGAATGGCACAGGATAGGGAGGACAGTGTTCAGACTGTACTAAACGACACCTAACAGCAACAAAAACAAGCTTGCATAGGCCAAATGAGCCATCAGAAGAAGGCAAAGATCATAGCACTTTGACACACTATGGATAGTTAGCTGAATTCTCAGCAGCAGGGACTCTATGGGCTGCTTCAGAAGGGAAATCTCATGGAAAATCTCAACCAATACCAATTTAGCAGAACCATAATCTGTAATCACTCACTAATTGCTGTCCACTCTAAACCAATACATAGCTGACGCTCCAGTGTATTTTCAGAGGCTGTAAATCACACAAACTTGAGACTGCCTCAACTTTCTCCCTCAGAACACATGGTGGACTTGAACAGATTACATTTGGGCTGGCAGCACAGCTACTTACCCACTAGGCTCCCTGTGGAGAGCTTCCTGTAATCTGTAACAAGGACACTAATTGAGTTAAAGCCAGTCCAACCTGAGCCTTGAGAATGTGGGTCAGAAAGGGTACCTGAGGCCCGCATTTACCACATCATCCTGCCTCCCCTCTGACAAGAAGGAAGGTGTGACTTTACAGCTGTGGACACTGCCCAAACCCTGGATCCCTCTCAAGCTGTGAAGCCTCCAGGCTGCAGGTGAGGCTGTCATTCTTAGGGCAGCAAGCCCTGGGCAGGTGGGGACAGGACCAGCCTGCCTTCATGCCTGGTCCCCAGGTCAGGCCACAGCCACAGAACCACGGCAGCAACTGTCCACAGGCCAGCCACAACGAAGGGAGCAGCGGTGAGCACCCCAGGCCAGGAGGCTGACTTAACGGGAAAGAGTCCAGCTCTGCGGGCCAGGCCGGTAACTAGGCAACAGGCTCCCATAATCAGCTCAGTTCACTTTCCATTTGTGTCTGTTTTGCTCCTGTCATAACGCACTACTCAAATGACCAGACCACTGTGTGAGAGGAGATGCCTTAGGGCAGAGCACTATCCACTGCCCGTAATCGCTTTCCACTGCACGGCTGCTCTGGGCTGCAGGCCCCTTCCAGGAAGGCAGTTGTTGAGCAAGATGTCACAGGATGGAAAACGTGTGCCACACCTAGCGGAATAGGGCTGGGTAGGGAGAAACTGCAGTACTGGCTTGAAGTAGGTGGAAGAGGGCTGGCTCAGCCCAGGACCGCTTATGCAGCCCTGTCTCCATAGGTCTACAGGGATAACACTAAGTAAGTTCCCTCTGGACGGTTCCTATCTGCAGCTGGGTTTCCTGATATCCTAGAGAGGAGGAACTGAACTTCAGAACATTTCCCAGGCTAGAGTAAGAAACTCCACAGCCTAGTTCAGTGGAAAGAACATGTACTCAGAAAAGCAAGAGCTTAAGAGTCAGGGACCCCTGGCTCTGATTCACAGTCTGGCCACTGTATGGTGATGTGAGCTCACACAAGTCGTTTGCCCTTAAAAAGCCTCAGTTTCTTAATCTCTTAAGTGGAGATAACATTTCATTTTTAAGTTTAATGGGGATAATACCCCCTCATAAATTTTCTGGGGAGTTTAGAGATTCATGGAGAATAAGGGAGCTTTCGTGGCATGGTCCGTAGGGAATTGCTAACCCAATGGCCACTCCTGTCTCGTGGTTTGAAACTACCAACTACCTTTCTCTTGGGAGAAAGATGGACAGTCTCCTCTTGTGCAATTTACTACTTCAGAAAACCCATGGAGGGTGAGCTATGAGTCAGTTAAAGTTCAACAGCAGTGGCTTGAGTGACACAGCAAAGTATCTGCAATTGGGTGCTTAAAAAATGACAACTAGTATTAATTATTATTATGGAGCTCTGGTGGCTTGTTGTTGGTGTACTATACAGTCAGAACCGACCCATAGTTGACCTTCTAGTGGGTTTTCAGAGGCAGGTAATTGCATGGGAGGAGACTGCCCATCCTTCTCTCTTGGAACAGCTGCTGGATTGGAACCGTGTGCCTTTGAAATTGCAGCTCAAGTTCTTACCACCAAGCTAATAGAACTGTCAACCCAAAGGTACATGGTTCAAATCTACCAGCTGTTTGATGCGGAAAAGATGGGCAGTCTCTTCCTATGTGATTTACTGCCTTTGAAAACCCAATGGAGGGCCAGGTATGGGTCATTTCTGACTCAATGTACACAAAAATAACATTATTAATTACTTTTTTAAAAGTAATGTGTTCCTTGGCAGTGAGAATACTGTCTCTAGGCATGTCTACAGCTTGGCGCTCCACGGAACCATTCATATCATTATTAAAAGCCTGAAGGCTGGAAATCAGGGATGGTTTGCTGGCTCTGCTCCTGGCCAGAAGGCACTTAACTCTGCTGCATCTTGGTTTCCTTACCCCTTAAATGAAAGAATGAATTCTGCCTGGCCCAAAACTTCAGACTTCAACTGGAACGTCCAAGTTCATTTGATTCCATGTCAAAAAATGGCTTTGGCTTCAAGGCTTAGCTGCTAACTGAAAGGTTGTTGGTTCAAACTCAGCTAGTGTCTTCAAAAGAAAAAGACCTGGTGATCCGCCCTGGTGAAGAATATAGCCAGGACACCCTTCAGGGACAGTTCCACTCTGTCACAAAGGTCACTATGAGTCCAAAAATTGGCTTGCTAGCACCTAATAATGACAGTATCTTGGGATTTTAGAGTTCTGTTTACTCACAGAGGGCCTTGGCTATACAGCCCCCCCCCCACCTGGACCACTCTGTTGAGTTGAGAATAAATTCCTTGATGATACAGGAATCCCTGGGGTAAAAACTCAAGCAGGTGAAAAGCCTTCAGAAATCCCAGAAGGCTCAGAAATAGAGTCTGGCTCTCCTAACCACCTCATCTCATTTCTGCCTCCCCAACTTGTCCCCTTTCCCCATTTCTATCAAGCTAAATATGCTTCCTCCTCCTTCTCCTAGCTTTCAGAGTCTGGATTATCTGAATTTGTCTTTCTCACTTGATGTAGCCAGCCAAGAGCTAACAAGAACGGAGTTTGTTGCTTATCAAGTCCACACTTACAGGAGACCTAGGCCAGAAGCACCGCTGTGCCCTAACCTGGGCTCGTTTCAGGGATGTAGGGATACAAACCCACCAGCTGCTTCAAGGGAGAAGGATGGGCAATCTTCTCTTGTTCAATTATTGCCTCTGAAAACCCACTGAGGTCACCTATGGGTTGGTTCAGACTCCAAGGCACACAACCACAAGGAAACAAAAGAAGCTGATCCTGGCTTCCTGCCCAGTCCTGAGAAGGACTCTGCCTTTCAGTGGCTGGAGCTCCAGCCTGAAATGCCATAACCATGACTGATATCTCCTTTCCTTGCCAAGGGAAGAGGCATCTGTCCTGGTCTAGTGTGCATGCCAGCTTGGTCCCTCCTTTCAGTGTCATCCTCCAAACTCCTGCCCTCCCCTGGGTGAGGAAGTGGAACTTTTTCTTCCATGACTGGGTTGAGGCCCAACACAGGAGGTGCTAGGGAAGGTGGCAGGGCTCTGAGACTCATTAACATAACAACTTGGGACACCAGAGGTGACAACCAGCATTCACAGCAGGAAGCAGTCCAGATCCAACAAATCATGTGGCTCTTCCCTGTCTCCTAGACAGACCCCCTCCAGGCCTGAGGATGCTGGTCATACATAGTCCCCAGGGTTTTAAAGAGGCATGTGGCCTGGAGAGACCAGTCCTTGGAGAAGGCTATCATACTCGGAAGGGTGGAGGGACAGCGCAAGAGAGGAAGTCCCCAGATGAGATGGACTGATAAAGTGACTGGAGTAATGGGGTTGGTGTGTCAAAATTAGTGAGACTGGCTCAGGCTTCAGAGCTATGGGCCACAGACGACTTGACAGCACATAACAACAACAACAACAAAGCGAAGAAATCTATTTAATAGCAACTGTATTGTGGTAGTTAGTAAAGTAATTCATTAGTTTTAGGTTTGCTTGGGTTTTTTTAGCTGTCCAATTGCTATGGGCAGAGAACCTCCCCTACCACTCCCTTACATGTAAAAGGATTATTGGGACCTAAACTGATGGGGTAGAGTTGAGGGGAGCGGTGTACTTTGGTGGGAAAGGACTAGGACTTGCCAATCAACCTGTTCCCCCACCCAGCCTCACACATCCATTTCAAACAGTAACCTGAACCAGGGCTTCCTGGGAAACCAATTTTTGCTGCAGCATTAAGAAAAGAAGTGGCAACAAATCTGGTACCATTGGTGGCAGCCTGTGGGAGCTTGAAGGGGGCTTCCTCACTCTAGCTAAGGCAGGTAATGCCAGGTGTGCTCCCAGCCAGGCGACACCTTCGGGAACATGGTATGAAGCAGACATCTTGACTTATCGCCCTGGACGGAGGAAGGCCTCTCAACCTGGATGACCAGATCTGTCTAAGAGGCTGGAAGCCTATCTCCCCTTCTCTAAAACTGTTATTTCCCAGAACACTAAGCAGCTGCTGAGAGGATTTGAGTAAGGGAGCATGGATGACAGCATCTAGTGCAATGTCTGCCACAGAGTAGCCACTTAACACTAGTTTTCCTCTCTTGAACCCTGTTTGACCCGACAGAAGGCCTATCTCAGCTCCCAAAACTGTGGCATAGAGGAAGAGGGGGGTAGCTAGAGGTGTATGGTTGGTGCAGACCAGAGGAGACCTGAGAAGGTGCAGGAAGAGCTGAGCTGAGGGCACCCCACTCTCTGGGAGGGGGTGCTGCAAAGGAAACAGCTGGGATTAGATCCAAGTAGTAAGTGAAATGTGTGCAATCTCCTGACTAGGCGAGCGGAGAGAGGGTGGGAGTGTGTAATTCCCCAGAGGGCTCATGTAAGGGGAGGCGAACTGGGAGAGGGGAGGGAAAAGGCAACATCCACCAGAGTAAATTAAGTCACAGCCTTGATTCTTTCTCTGTCCAGTCCTTACTCAGGACCCCTAACCACACCACAAGAGCCCCCTTTAAGACCCAGGATCCTGTTACTCACCCTGGCGGCCCTGGAAGAGTAAGGATCCTCGAAAAGCGCCCACATGCGGGGTTGCCAGCCACGGCAGCCCCCAGGCCCAGCCCCGGGGCCTGCGCCGCCCTCATGGGGGCCCAGGCGCTGCAAGGCCAGCTCTCGCTCATCGTCGCCGGCCTCGTCGCTGGGCCCCGCGCCACCGCCACCTCCGTCCGGGCTCTCGAAGATGTCCAGTGCCTCCTCGGCGTCGCGGTGCTGCCGGTAGGTCATCCAGCAGCAGGGCTCCACGTCGGTCTCGTCGATGCCCCAAAAGGTGAGCTCCTCCTCGAAGAGCGGCCCGCACACGTCGGCCGGGCAGTGCAGCTTGCCCGTGCGGTAGTAGTTGAGCACGTAGGCGAAGACGCCCGGGTGCCGGTCGAAGAAGAACTCGCAGCCCCCGGCGCCGCTGCTGCCGCTGCTGCCCGCGCCGCCGCCATCGGAGTCAGGCCGGCCCCCGCCGTCGGGATCGGCCAGCCAGGCGAGGCGGGTGCCCGGTAGGGTGCGCAGGGTGCTGCGGTAGGTCTCATGTCGCGTGCCGCCCACGTTGATGATGATCTTCTCCGACGCCTCGCCCTTGGCCATCTCTTCCTTCAGACATGTTTTGGACGGAGGCTTGTTCCCCGACTTGCGCCCGCGGTAGGAGGAGACACACACCGAGCTGATCATAAGAAGCGCTGCGGGGCTCCGGCTTGGGGCGGCCGCTGCCCTCCAAACACCCTTCCCGAGGAGGCAGCGTCAGACGGGGGAGGGGGAGGAGACGAGGAGGCGGCGGCAGGAGGCGGTGGCGGCCCCCTCTGCGGCTTGGCCCTGCCCCTGCCTCCCCCCCCACCCCGGGGCGCGGAGCGGGAGGAGTTGGGTTTCTCGGGTGCACAGGTGGTTGGGGTTTGGGCAGGCAGCCGCGGGGGAGGGAGACAGGATGGGGAGAGATGGGCCGAAGACCCAAGTAAAAGGTCCTCGGAGGCAGTGGCAAGCACACACACTATTCCTTGCGAGGGCAGGGCACACAAATGCTCCGGGCCAGGACACGCCCCCCTCCAGCCCCCAAAAGATGAGAAAGCGCCCTGTCCAGGCGCACAGCGAGGGGCTGGGACGCGCGCGCGCTCGCTCACACTCACGCGGGCCACCCTCCGACTCCCAGACCGCACCGAGCTCCGGGAGCTGCCGGCTTCCCCGCGGCGGCGGCAGCGCAGCAGCAACAAGTCTTCCGAGCGATGCCGGGGCCTGGAGCCGGGGCCGGGGCGACGCTCTCACCACAGCCGGAGCTCCGGGGGCTCGGGCTGCGTGCGGTCAACACGAGGCGGCGGCGGCGGCATGTGGCCTCTTCCCCCCATTCATAAATCCAGCTCTGGAAACGGATGGCGGGCGGGGCTGAACGGAGCGCTGCGGACGGGCGGGCGGGGGCTGCGCAAGGAGAGGCGGCGGCGATGGCAGGAAAACAAGCGCGCCCGCAGAAGACAGCCTCGGGTCCTGCGTCCGCGGCTCGGCGGCGGCTGCGAGCGGGACTGGGCTGGGCGCAGCGCTGCGGGGGCCGCGCTGGGGCGGGGGGGCCTCAGACGGGGCGTCCTGCGCGGCGCCGAGCCTGGGGGGCGGGGCCGCACCGGGGAGCACGGCTCTTGGAGCTGGTGAAGGCGTCCCCGGGGCGGCGGCGACCGAGCGGCCAAGGACACCTGCAGGCTTCCCGGGCCGCGCCGAGCGGGAGCCTCAGCGCAACGCCCCAGCTCCGGGCTCCTGCGATCTGGCTGCGCTGGGACCCACGCCATCCACGCGTCTGCCCATCTCAGTGCGGGGAGGTGGCCTAGGGGAGGGAGAGCCTGGGCGCCGGTGGGCAAGGGCTCAAGGGGGTTCCCGGTCGCCCTCCTGCGATGGCCACGGACGCCACACTCCAAGTGGCGCCTGTCCCTCCGGGCTCCGCCTCGCCCGGGCGCGCCCTCCTCCGGACGGGGTGGGTGGGGCGCGGCGCGGGGCCGGCGGGGTGCTCTGCGGGGCCGGGGCGGCCGAGTTCAGCCTGCCTCCGCGGAGCCGAGCCAAGCTGAGGCGCGTAACCCCCTCGTCGCCAGCGCCCAGCCTAACGCGCCGCCCCTACGCGCCTCCGCCACCATCCCTTCCCGCCCACCTCCACCGGGCTCCTGGGCCCCCCCACTAAGCCCGAAGCTCCTCCCACTGCAGCCTGGAGAAACGGTACCGTTCAGGACCCCTAACCTCTAACCTCGGCCTCACCTCCACCCACTTCTTTGGTCTGCGCCCATCGCCCCCTCCCCGCCAAGCTAGTCGTATTGTTGCCGTTTCACTGCGGCTGACTGGAGGCCTGGAAAGGAAGAGAGTAGAGAGATTGTGTCGCCAAGGGAAGGTTGTCCCTTTCTGCCCTAGACACCATATTGGGACCTCCTAACCTCTCCATCCCATCGAGAACCATAAGGCCTAAGCAGGATTCAGAATCTCTGTGGTCTTGATGGTACTGCTTCAGTCCCTCTATAACGGACTGGGGGAACAGAGCATCCTTGGTCAGTCCTTCCTGGGTGAAAAGAAATCAGCCCTTGAATAGGAGGGGTGAATGAGTAACCCGAAAGATAATTCTCTTAAAGCTCATGCACATTGCTGTCCTGGGGAGGGGTTTGGATGGCAATATAAGGTACCTGCTTTGTGAACCCTCCTGATTTTACTGTTGTTATGCTCATTGCAATTTGACTGCCAAGCCATGCCTCATCTCCCATCACTGACCGTGCCTGAGCTCCTCCAGCTCAGCTCGCTTTGTGCTTTTTCATCTTGATAGCGCCCACAGTGCCTGCCTCTGAGAACCTATTTGCTAAGTGATTGAGAAGCTGCCATCCCCAAAACATTAGGCAACAACCTGGCTTATCTGGCCCTATCCCAGGAGTCATTTCCAGATTGTTTTGTTTTTGTTTTCCTATCTAGAACCACGTTTAGGTCTTTGAACCCGGCAGCCTGGATGGAGAATGAAGGCACGCAAGGTGGTTGATACATGCACTCTGGACACCTGTGCACCGTTCCCTTTCCAGATCAGACAGTGGGAAACCGACAAGAGGAGAGCCTGGGTGTGTGCAGAGAAAAGGTTCAAAGCCCAGTGCAAATGCGGGAGATCCTCACAAGCAAAAGTCATTTAATAAAGTCAGAAAACAAAAATAACAAGGAACTTTAGCCATCTACACATCTGTGCAGGTGAGGTGAGGACCATCCTTGGACTGTAGTCAGAAATGTATGTTTATTGGCACCCTCTTTATGTCCATGTCCCCCACCCCGTAGACCTGATGTCTGCATTTCAGAGTTTAGCTGGCTTAGAGTTTGCAGTGGAGCAGAAATATCCCACAGGTAACTGGGAAGACCCAGGACTGGCACAGGGCAGGAGAGATGAAGGGAGAATCACAGAGAAGATATTCAAGAATTGACCTTTAAACCTCGATTTAGTCTGTGTCCTGGCAAACTCTCTTGAGATCTCTTCTTTTCATTTCCCCAGTTCATTGAATTTAGTCTTTCTCCTAATAGGGAGAGAAAGGAGAGGGTCATAGGGGTGGGATCAGAGAGAGAAAAGATCTTGGGAGCATCCCACACTGATTTACTCGTTTATCCACATATGAGTGCCTACTATGTTCCAGGCACATCCTCTCACACTTCCAACCACCGACCCCTACAACCACCTCCTCCCCCCCAAATAGAATCTTTCTTATGGGTCTTCTGTTCTGCAATGTTGGTGGATGAAGGTGACAAGCACCAATAGAAGGAAATCAGATGCCAAGGGAGGGAGGTCGGAAAACTGGTGCAGTGTGATGTGGGTGTGGGGAGTCAAGGAAGGAAGAGACGAAGAAAACAGTTCAGGCCAGTTTCTTTGAGGGCAGTGCCCTCCTACTGGAGAAGCAAGCCCTGTCTCAGGACAGAGGCCTCCAGAAGCCTCACCACTGGCTCCAGATTTTATTCAAGAGTTTTGACTATCCCATTTCTTGGTCCTTTCTAGACCTCTGGGAGAGTCATTGTACTGTGCTTGTCATAATGTGGCTTGTCCACATTGGTTCTGTGTGTGTGAGGTCACGCTACAACCTCAAAGCACAGAATCCAGGAAATAAGAGCCCCCTGCCCAATTGGCTTTATGACAGTCTGCTATGGATGGGTGGGTGCTGCCCCCTGGTGGTGATAGATATCCTACCTCCTGTTGTTTTGTTGTGTGCTGTTGAGTTGGAACTGACTAATAGCTGACCCTCAAGTGGGTTTTCAGTGTCAATTAATTGCATGGGAGGTCCTACCTCCAGCACTAAGAACAACAACAACAAAAAAAAAAACAAACCCCACACAATTCCAAAACCCAAACCAAAAAACAAACCACATAATAACAACAAAAAACACATACAGAGATAGTGCATAGTTTATAATCAGCAAAATTGTGTCTCAGAGTTATATCCTTTCTCCATACCTGATAAATCTATATGCTGGGCAAATAATTTGAGAAACTGGACTGTATGAAGAAGATGTGGCCTCAAGATTGGAGGAAGATTCATCAACAAGCTAAAATATTCAGGTAGCACACTCTTGCTTGCTAGAAGTGAAGAAGGCACTTACTAAAGATTATCTAAGACTACAGCCTTCAATATTAATTGTACTTAAACATCAAGAAAAGAAAAATCCTCATAACTGGATCGATAGGCAACATCATGGTAAGTGGAGAAAAGATTTAAGTTATCAAGGTTTCATTTTATTTGAATCCACTATCAGCACCCATGGGAGGAGCAATTGAGAGATTAAAAGAGGTTTTGCATTGAGTAAATCTGCTGTTGAGGAGCTCTTTACTACATTAAAGAGCAAGGATGTCAGTTTAAAGACTAAGGTGCACCTGATCCATGTGCCATGGTATCTTGAGTTGTTTTGTATGTATGTGAAAGTTGGATAATGAATAAGGAAGACTGAGGAACTGACACCTTTGAATTGTAGTGCTGGTGAAGAGAGAGTATTGAATATACCATGTATTGCCAAAAAAACAAGTATCTGTTGGAGGAAGTGCTCCTTAGAAGCAAAGATGGTGAAAATTCATCTCACACACTTTGGGCATGTTATCCAGAGGTGCCAGTACTTGGGGAAAAATATCATGTGGGAAAGTGAAGAGTAAGAGAAAGAGAAGAAGCCTCCCAAGGAGATGGGCTCCACAAAGGGCTTGGGCATGACAGAGATTGTGAGGTTGATGCATGATAGGGCAAGATTAAGATCTGCTGTTCATAGAGTCACTGTGAGTTATTAGTCAACTCAATGGCAGCTAAGAACAACTCAACCTATTTCTGTGACGTCCATTCCAATTCATGGAGACTCATTGTTGTTGGCTGCTGTCAAGTTGACTCATAAAATGGATTGAACCTTACCATATACTGTGGGGTCCTAATCATGTTTGACAAGACTTGATCCCAGGGAAGACTAAAACTGCCCCGCAAAGTTTCCGAAGTTGTAATCTTTACAGGAGCAGATTGCCACCTGTTTCTCCTACAAAGGGCGGGTGGGCTGGAACTACCAATCTTTTGGTAATCAGCTGAAAGATTACTTACCACTGCTCCAACTGGTCTATGGCATAACCCTCCAAAATACCTTAAACTGTCTGCCGTCAGTGGATTCCAACTCATGACAATCCTGTGTGTGCACACAGAATGGCCCCAAAGGGCTTGCAAAGCTCTGACCTCTAGGCGGTGCACTGCCAAGTCTTTCTAATGAGTTTCTCATTGCCAGCCTTGCAGTTCGTAGTTGAGCGCTTCATCACTTGCGCCACCCCTGAACTTCTGGAAGTGATCAACTCACCTCAACCCATTGCTGTCACAGCTGACTCTGAGCTGACCCTCCAGGTTTTCAGAGGCTTTTAAATTGCACAAGAGAAGAGACAGCCCATCTTTCACCCTTAAAGTAGCTAGTGGATCCGAACCACTTGCCTTGGGGTTGACAACACAACTCCTTACCCACTAGGCCACTAGACTTTTGTCTGTGATAGTGGAGAGAAAAAGGGACTGATTAGCCTAGTCTAGGAGTTCTTATGGGGCAAGCAGTTAATACCCATGGCTGCTATCTGGAAAGTCAAAACTTCTGATATACCCAGAGGCACCTGAGAAGAAAGCGTGGTGATCTACTTCTGAAAATGCAGCCATTGGGAACCCTGTGGACTCAATTCAGTTCTGACATGGATGGAGTCACTAGAAGTTGAGATTGACTTGACAGTGAGTGTTGTAGTTTAGTTTTTTGAAAAATTTTTATGTTTCTATTTTAAGTCTGGTTTTGGCTTGGGATAACATTGATTCTGAGATTCCTACTAATTAATTCTGTTGTGTGCTGTTCAGCCAGAACCAGCCCATAGCTGGCCCTCCAGTGGGTTTTCAGAGGCAGTAAATCTCACTAGGACCACTCATATCGCCCTCAGTCTCATGCTCCCGTCTTAGGACTCAGCCTGTGTGTCATTTCTTTAAGAGCAGCCACGGTCAGAACTTCTGAATTCCTTCCTCTTCTTGCCCCATTATCATCTTTTCTTCACCTTCCACCCTGAGATC